GTTCTTAACAAGAAAGGCTTAAAATAGGGAGAAAAGCAGACTCTGCCCCCTTCCTCTTTTTAAAATTGGATGCTGGAATCCAACTAACTGCAGGCGTATGTGGCTTTTCATGCAGTTGCTCATAATTCTGAGACTTAGAAGTGTCAGTGCTCCGGGCAAAGAACTTCTGCTTAAGCCAAGAGCATTTTTATGCCTGTTAACATTTGTAGGTCTGCGTTTTGGGGGATTGTTTCCCCACTGCCCTAAGTTTTGTGTTATAGCTTAGCAAAACAAAAGCAAAAATGCTCTCACCATAGAATGATAGAAAATCCACTTTGCATAGATATAAATGACAACATAAAGAGCAAGACACAGAGAATCAAGCCCGCTGGCACTGATAAATCCCAGAAATGAGTGAACAATTCAGCCCTGAGATTCACTTGCTTGTATTTCCCCTTCTTTGAGGCCCATTTTCAAACTTGGTCACAGGTACATCAGCCTACTTAGCAGCTGACTTCGCACTAAAGCTTAAGTCTTATTATGGAAGCTCTTTTGAAATAAGGTCTGGACAGACAGCGAGAGAGAGAGAGAGACCAGGTTTAAGAAGGCAAATAAATGTCCCTTGAATATACACTTTAAACTATTTTCTCCTGTTTTCAGTGGCTCTCAATCTTTGCATCACCCTTTCTGACAACAAAAATTACTAAATGAACCCGGGAAGGCGTGTGAGAAAGCAAAACCAGCATCTTAGTCCTGCTGGTCCAGGCCTCCTTTAAAATGGGGTCATGACCCACTTTGGGGTCCTGAGCCACAGTGTGAGACTCACTGGCTGCATCTAGACTGGCAAGTTTTTCCGCAAAAGCAGCTGCTTTTGCGGAAAAACTTGCCAGCTGTCTACACTGGCTGCTTGAATTTCCGCAAGAACACTGACGATCTCATATAAGATTGTCAGTGTTCTTGCGGAAATACTATACTGCTCCCATTCGGGCAAAAGCCCTCTTGCGCAAATGCTTTTGCGCAAGAGGCCCAGTGTAGACAATGCGGTATTGTTTTGCGCAAAAAAGCCCTGATCGCGAAAATGGCGATCAGGGCTTTCTTGTGCAAAACCATGTCTATATTGGCACAGACGCTTTTCCACAAAAAGTGCTTTTGCAGAAAAGCGTCCGTGCCAATCTAGACGCTCTTTTCTGCAAATGCTTTTAACAGAAAAGTTTTCTGTTAAAAGCATTTGTGGTAAATCATGCCAGTCTAGACATAGCCACTGAGTTATATCTCTGGAAGATGGAAAAGAAACACTTTAAAAGTCATGTGTTCCTTAGAGCATTAATTTTGCTGCTTGACCAAAAGGCAAGTTTCAGCCTGGCCAGGCCTTGGACCTTAGCAAGCAGTCTCACTGGCAGTGCCATTTTTGCCCCAGGAATGTTGTCCTCAGCCACAGAGCCACATCTGGGATTGCCAAACCCTTCTGCAGGAAAACCCAGCCGCCAAAAGGTATAACATTTTCTTGACAATCATGCCCATGTTACACAAATAGGACACAGCTGGGTCTGATTACATGTTCCATCCTGATGTAAATATTTACAACCAGAAAAAGCTGGTAGTTAAGAAATAGTGTTTATTAAAATTATAATTGTGAATTATTGCTGTAAAATGTAAGTACTAAGACCATGTATCAGTTACTGGGAATCATAAATAAGGCGTGTGACTGGCCCACAGTCAGTAGGCATGAATTCAATCCCATGCAGAAGGCCAGCACCAAATAAATCGTCAACATGGATGTACTGAGCGTGTGCTGACCTTCGCACCAGCCTGTATTTCTCCAGGTGACTCTGTGTGGGGAAAACAGCTGCAGGGTTGGATGATGGGAGCAACCACCTATTCAGTGCTCAGCTTAAATCAGGGAAAGATGTCTCATTAGGAGCTCCCCCGTAAGTTCTTTTTTGGGCCTGCTGGCCTGGGCTACCAATTAGGAAGATGCTCACCTAATTTGTTCCCCTTAAAAGGGAAGATATCAAAGACAAGGGAGTCCTTAGAACCCTTAGAAAGTCTGCAAGCCCTGCTGCCACCTGAGCTCAGGCCAGCACCATGGTCACTTCTTTAAAAATGGTAGGGTTGAGCTCTGCAAACTTCTATACACCACCCTGCCCTCCACATCTGTAATTCCTAATTATGTTTCAGTTTGAATGCAAATAACCCATCTTCCTGTCTACGCTGCTGCAATTACCACACGTCCACTTCTGGCTGAACACAGTCAAATCTTGCTGACTTGACACAGGTGGCAGATGGTTAGATAACTCATAAAGGGCCGTGATTACAGGGAAATGTGATGTGAATGCTGAAACGCAACCATCCAGGAAATGATATTCTGCAGCATGTACAGATGTGAATGAAAACAGAAAAGGGGTCACTGAAGTTTAGAGCTATGGTTTCAAAGCAGAACACGGCCTTAAGCAGTACCATAGAGTTGAACAGCCCAGGAATCTAGGGGCATTCACAAGATAAACTGGCATCTGAATTTTGAAAATACTTTTCTTTATAATGTTCTGTCAAAGAAAGCAGCACTAAAGCTGGGACGTGCAGCAGGGCCTAACAGAGTTAGGCAGCCAGCTCCATTGAATATGAATAGATTTGGGTGCCTAAGTCCTTATAAGCCCTGTGAAAAATCTCAGGCTAAAACTTTAGGATGTTCAAAAACTAGAGCAGACGTTAGGGTTTGAGTCAATCTTTAAGCCACTGAAACTCTGCAATCTCTCCAGCTGCTGCATCTATTAAAGGTCTTCAAGACAAAGCATTTAGGCAATTCTGAAAGTGCCCACAGCAGCCTACCTGCTCCTTTTGGAAGGAATTTAGGTACTCAAGCTGGCCCTACATAAATTTCCTAAGTTCACACACAAGGGCTGTGCCTACACTGGCGCGATCTCACGCCAAAACGGCCACTCGTGAACAAAAACTTGCTGCCTGTCTACACAGGCCGCGTGTTCTTACGTAAGTAAACTGACATTGTACTGTAGAAAATCAGGGCTTCTTGCACCAGAACTCCGATGCTCCCGCTCAGGAATAAGCCATCTTGCACAAGAGCTCTTCCAGAAAAGGCCAGTGTAGACAGGAAACATGAATTTCTTGCGCAAGAAAGCCCTATGGTTAAAATGGCCATCAGAGCTTTCTTGTGCAAGAGCGCGTCTACACTGGCATGGATGCTTTAGCACAAAAGCAGATTTCTTGCACAAAAGCACATGCCAGTGTAGATGCTCTCTTCTGGAAGAGTTTTTGCAGAAGAACTCTTCCGCAAAAGAGTTTTTGCGTGAGAACACGCCAGTGTAGACGTAGCCAAGGGCAAGCAGACTGAGAAACTGGACTATGGTTTCCAGAATCCCAACTTAGTGCCCTACACCACTGCCCCAGGCCTCCTCTCCTTAGGTAGGGGAATAGCCCCAATCAAAGATTTTTATACAAATCAACAGGCAATGTCACCTATTGGAAGCTTTTAGACTAGGTTGGACCAGGGGTGGCCAACCCACGGCTCTCAAGCCAGATGCGGAGTTTTGATTAAGGAAATCGGCTCCTGCTACTTCTGAGCTGCACACCCAGACTGCTCATGGCCAGCCGCTCTGCACACGTGCCCAGTGCTTGGAGGGAGAAGTGCGTGGCAACAGCGGCGACTCCAGGACCCAGGCATTAGGTTGGAGCAGGGGGGTGGGTGCCTGGCTCTAGGAGAGAGGAGGATTGGATTAGAGTGGGGGGGGTGCCTAGCTCAGGAGGAAGGGGTTGGGTTAGAACAGGGGGGCTAGGAGTGCCTGGCTCTGTGGGAGGAGGATTGGGTTAGAGCGAGGGGGGAGGGGCTGCCTGGCTCTGGGGAAGAATTTAGGGATGGGGTTGGGGGGGGGTGCCTAGCTTAGGAGGAGAGGGGTTGGGTTAGAGCAGGGGGGCTGGGAGTGCCTGGCTCTGTGGGAGGTGTGGGGGGTTTGGTTAGAGCAGGGGTGCTAGGAATGCCTGGTTTTGGGGGAGGGGTGGGGTATTGGGCTCAAAGTCTTCATGGATGCAGAATAAGGCAGCCAACACAGATGTCATATTTAAATTCTAGGGCAAAAAAAGACTCAGCATGTATCTGGTTTACACTGTGTTTCTTTAAAGAAAATTCAAAGGCTATTGTTTGCCAGGCTGAAGCAATTATACTGAGATATGAGTCTCTCCCTTATTGTTTTTGAACCTCTCATATTTGCAGTCTGGGACAGGCCTGAATTTTTAGAACAATAAAAAAGCCATAATCTTCATAAGTTAAAAAAATATATGAGGAAAGCATACCAGAGATCAGCAAGCTGGAGAGAAACAGGCACTTCAAATTGTGCTAATTTACTTCTCAGTTCAGTTTAATTTAAAAAAACTCACAGAACATATTAGGGCAGTAGTGTTGAATTTAAAATACATGGTGGCGATGCTTTTTTTTTAGTGTGAGAATATTATTGTATTTTAAAAGGTTTTTTTTTTTTAATTTGATGTTTGTTCCTTGTCAAATTCTCTGAAGATCTATGGACTGGCTGTGAATTTTTTTAACTGGCTAGAGACTTATTTATTGTTTTTTGTCCAAAATGTCCTGTAATGTTATTTTTAATCACTACATTTTGTGTACTATATCTATCTTTCTATATATAGATATATAAAAAATGAATATATAATACATGGCTCTTCGCACTCTATCCACCACTATTTTGGCTCTTCGTTGGCCACCCCTGCGATGAACAAACTGGTTGGCCACCCCTGGGTTGGACAAACACCTGCCCTGAATGATCTAGGTTTACTTGGTCTTGCCTCCGTACCAGAGCTGGACAAGATGTCCTTTTAAAGTTCCACCCTCCCTACATTTCTAGACCAGATGGTATTTTTAAATGGATGTCTGGATTTTGTATCCTAGCTTGGAAATGTGTCCCATACTCTGCAGGTCTAGGTGCTAGTGATGTAATAGCTCCTTAGTCCAATGCCAAAAACAGTGATTAGTAACAATAAAATAATGGCAATAACCCCTCTTTCAATCTACAAAAGTTTACATTTTATTTGTGCATGTTTCAATAAACTATAAAAAACTTCTGAACAGACATTCCTTAAACTGTGAAAGAACAATCCATCTTGTCAATTAGATAAATTCACTTAGTCAGGCCCTGCCCTGGATGACTGTTCAGTGAGCTATAATTCTATGGGGAACATGCTCTGTGAGATCCTAAATACTCAAGTTATGGAAAAAAAATTTTAAGGCCTTTATTGTTTCTCCCTCCCCCAGGATATGGCAGACATGGAGAAGGGGGAAAAAACCGCTTAGGCTCCATCTGCTGATTGGAAACATTGCAACAACCTCATCTAGGATCTTATCTGAAGACTAACTAAAGTCAATAGAAACACTTCCATTGACTTCAATGGGGTGTGAATTTAAGCCAATCAAAATGCAGATTTGCCAGGATATGACCTTTGTTCCTTAGCCCCTGGTTTTCTTGCTGCACACATAGAAGAAGTACACTGTTTTCACATGGTTCGGTCACTTTCAAAGCTGTATAAGTCCAGATGGGTTCTGCTTCTTTCAATCTGAATTAACAGCTGTAAGGCAATGCAGTGGTCAGTGGGGATGGGCAGGATAGCAGACCCATTGCAGTTTAAAGACCGAGAATACCCTGTTGGACCATGTTAAAGCACCATTCTGAATGAGTTGCTTGGCGGAGCAGCAATGGATCAGTGCTGCAGCAGAAGTCCTGCTAGTTTCCCGGTTTCATCTCTGTCCCATTCATGAGCCAAACCAAACGGAAGCAAAGTGCCAGGAATCCTGTGCCCAGGAGGTCTCCCAAGGCAGTGAGGTAGGGGATGGAGAAATTGTCTGGATCTAGGGCCTTCCTCCACATCAGTCGCACAATTAAATCAGCCATGTAGAGCAGAATTCCCACCTGCAGTGAGAAGACAGATCCAGTTATCAGTGAGTGCCAAGTATGCAGCAGTGATACAGTACCTAATTCTAGAATAGACTGTCCTTGGGATGGAGGGATGGAGTTCCTACAGCCAATGACACATGTAGCTGTGAGCAGGACTGGGCCAAACAAGTTTAGAGAAAAACAACTGGCTAGCCCACAAAAGCTAACTTCTGAAGGCGGAGGTTTCATGCTTCACTTTTCCTTTAATGATTCAGATCTTGTCTACCATGTTTTTCCTGTCAATCTCCCTGGTCAACTGGAGAACTAGTAGGTTTTTAATCACATTGAAGGTACCAAGCAAGTGAACCCTGAGCCATTGGAGAGAAAACTGATTTTTTTTTAATCTAGAATGTTTAAAAACCTTTGGGTTTTTTTTTTGTTTTCTTTTTTGTTTGTTTTTTCATTCCTATTTAACTCAAGATCCTGATAGTCAGCTGGAGGCAAAGCTATGATTTATTATTAAAGACTGCCTTCTTAATTCAGTTCAGTGTTGAGAGAGCTCTCCCACTGTGAATCACTATATCATAGAATCACAGAGCTGGAAGAGATCTCAGGAGGTCATCAAGTCCAGCCCCGTGCCCAAAATAGGACCAATCCCAACTATATCAACCCAGCCAGGGATTTGTCAAGCAGAGACTTAAAAACTTCTAGGGATGGAGATTCCACCACCTCCCTAGGTAACCCATTCCAGTGCTTCACCACCTTCCTAGTGAAACAGTTTTTCCTAATATCCAACCTAGACCTTCCACACTATAATTTGAGACCATTGCTCCTTGTTCTGCCATCTGTCACTACTAAGAACAGCCTCTCTCCATCCTCTCTAAGGAACATCTCATCACACCCAGGACCATGAGGCCGGGCATCTAACAAACCAAGCAGAAAAAACCCAACACAACTCACTCCCCTGCAATGTTTCCTATTCTTATTGTAAAAAGGCACAAGCCTAGTGTTCTCTTCTCTACTGGGCTCCCCTAGAAATCAGCAGTGATGTTGCTGGGATTCGGTTACCAGTGCTGTAATTTACCACATGTATTTTCATATTTGGGTCTGACAGAGGGAATAGTTTTGCTATGGTGGATACATTGAGTGGCAAACTGCCATCCTCTGTCTGTGTTTTATGACCTGCAACTGTGACACCACAGTGGAAGATGTTGGAAAAACAAAGACAACCCAAGTACTACACATGCAATGAAATCACACATAGGTGCAAGCCTGATTGTAAAGGGAAGCAAAAGGAGGAACAAAATCTTTTACCCTGCAAGCTAATGAACTTGTAGAATGACTCATTTCAAAGGGTGAATCAATGTATCAAGAGCATCAATGAATTTAAGTGACGGCAACATTTCTGTGAGTAGGACACTGGAGCATGTGGGCTGGGAAGGCAGAATAGTGAAAGGATAAAGGGGCAAAAGCAGAGCCAATGGAATTGGTGGTCTGAAGTCTATGTAGAGCTGTTCATTTTGGATGTGGGATCTCTCGCCCTCTCAGCCTGCTTGCTGCTGGATTTTCTCCCTGATGAATGTAGCTCTGACCCACAAAATCAAGTCCCCCCACTCCACAGGTTTCTACTCTGGCATGTGAAATCAGCCTTGCAGTGATAATGGGGGAGAGGAGGAACTCTCAAACTAGAGATTGTTATTTGCCCAATAAAATATTACTGCTGCAGTGAGACTCGAGAACTACACAAGCCTGTTCAACATAGCCAACATCTGGCACAGGGATGCTCCTGTCATTCATAATTCCTGGTACTATGGACACTGGGTGAGCACGGTGGGAACAGATGTCTGAGTCTAAGGAACAATGTTTGGGATTCTGGAGTTTTTCCCTGCTTAAGAAGTATCTCCTAGATTCAACCCTTAGCTCAGATGCACTATTTTTGTTACCTGCAACAAAGCAGCAGTCAGATAGAACATCACAAAAGTGAAGGTGATGGCTGCGTGCCCGCCCTGCAGGAAGTGAATGGTGTACAGGAACACGAGGTGTCCAGGAATAACTAGCAGGAATAGAACTCGGGCTGACTTGGAATTCACCCCTGCAGAGAACACATGTATTAAAACAAACCAGAGTGGCTACTGCTCGAGGGGGAAAGAAGCGTACAGCTGAACAACTTTTAATGACTACAAACATATTTGTGAATGTTAAATATCACTACCAGAGGAGTAGGAGAAAGACATGGACTGTTGACAACTCATTTCTGAATGACATTCAGTTCCGTAATATTACATTAGGGATCATGTGTAACTAACTAGCTGTTTTATCCATCCTGGCAAATCTCACTGCTACCACCTTTGCTAGAATAAAAAGCAAAGCTATTGCCATGTGAAGTATTTCTACGACTGCCCCCGGCAGCTTTTTCTGGCATTAATGTCATCATAAAACCATAGTTTATGTACATACTCAGCTCCCTCACTCTCTCCTGATCCTCTTGCTTAGGCTTCCCACAGCTGTTCCATTCAGCTGTCCTACACAGTTCTGGTCCCCACTCAGCTCCTGCTATGAATCACTTATGATCCACTTTCCTAGCTCTGACTCTGCCCATTCATCAGTGCACAGACTTCTAGTGGAAAAGCAACATGAGTCAGTCATCTAAAAGTAACAGAGACCAGATTTGGATTTTGCTTGTGCCAGTGTAACTCCATTACTTTGATCGGAACTATTCCTGATTTTCCCAACAGGAGCAAGATCAGCGTAAGCCCCACCATGTGCTACAGTCTGCTATTAATCCATGCCCTGGGGCATCTAAGACAGCCCCTGTTACAAAGGGTGACTCTCCATCAGAGTGAATTTGAAGTTTATTTTCAAATGGCTTGTTGCCAGTACCACACTCTGGAGGCCAATGTTCCCGGTCCATCCACAGAACAAGTACAACATAAGCAACAGGAACCAACTTCTCACAACCTGCCCCTTGCCAAGGTATCTCAACTTTCAACTCCTATTCCTTTCCTAGAAGTGGAAACTTCAGAATACTCTCCACAACACATTTGGTCCTTGGTCAACAAGGGTGACAGTGCTCTCGTTGGGATGATGGGTGTTGTGAGGTGCAAATCTGGAGTTCACGGTCTACCTGACATGAAGAACGTAGTGCATGGGTTGGGCCAGTTCTGCCTCATCTTGTACGGCAGGACTCCAGGCATGCTCCAGAAGTGCAGGAATGTGGAGATGCGGCTGGCTTGGATGGCAACCAGATTCCCGCCAACACCTGTAAGTGCAAAATGCAACTATTCCATAAACAGCAAGAAGCACACACAATGCATTGATTTATAGGGATTTAGCAGAAAATTGGCCAACCTGAATCTGCTCAAATGCATAGTGAGAGTGGTGGGTAAGGAAAGATAAACCCAACCCCATGAATCATTGTGGTACTGTTTTATTCACATGCTAGGAACACTCACAAACGTCACGGCAAGAAGAAAGTTCAGATGAACGTCTCTTTTTGATGGATTTATATAAAACATTCTCTGCTGAAACTTGTGCTTGTTATGACAAGTGATACACGCTGCATAATCTCCAGCAATGAGGCAAGTCCGGCCAACATTTATTGATCTCTGGAAAACACCTGATGCACACAGCCACTGCAAAGGCAGCTGCTGCTCTCAGTTCTGGTTCTCAGATGAACTCAGGTAGAGAGACTTTAGTATTTAAATCACAAGTGACACAGACAGTGATCATCTGTTCACTTGGAGGCATCTGATACACTTATTAAGTGAGAAATAATCAGATGAGGATGAAGCAGGCCTAATCATGTTAGCTAATTAAAAGGCAATTAGTTCCTTCCCAATTGTTTAATTCTGGCAAACATGAAATAGCAACTACATTCTCCATTAGACAACAGTAGTATTTAAATCACAAGTGACACAGACAGTGATCATCTGTTCACTTGGAGGCATCTGATACACTTATTAAGTGAGAAATAATCAGATGAGGATGAAGCAGGCCTAATCATGTTAGCTAATTAAAAGGCAATTAGTTCCTTCCCAATTGTTTAATTCTGGCAAACATGAAATAGCAACTACATTCTCCATTAGACAACAGACTAT